AATCTCGTTTCAATCTTCTACAAGTTTCCAAGCACCATCTGTTAGTTTAAAAAGCTCTCCTTTCTCCAACATATCCTTTTGGCCTTTTTGTCCAGAATTGGATAGCTGTAGTTGTGTGGATTTGTTTCCACACAACTTATTCTGTTCTGCTGGTCAACATGTCTATTTTTGTGACAGTGCCATGTTGTTTTCATTATTTTGATTTTGTAGTATAATTTGAAGTAGCCTATAATGATGTCTCCAGCCCTTGCTCTTTTTGCTTAAGATTGATTTGGCTATTCTGGATCTTCTGTGTTTCCATATGAATTTTAGGATTTTTTTTCTAGTTATGTGAGGAATGTCATTGTTATTCTGGTGGGGAATGGGTGGGTTCTGGAGATCATTTTTAGGAGTATGTATAGCCATATTAATTCTTTCAACCCATGAACATCATTTTCTAATGTGCTCTTCAGTTTATTCTTAAGTGTTCTGAAGCTTTCATTGTAGAGGTTTTTCACATCTTGGGTTAGGTTGATTCCTAGATTTGGTTGGTTTGGTTTTAAAGCTATTGTGAATAGAATTGTTTTTCCTATTTCTGTCTTAACTGCACTGAGAAGTGATTGATTTTTAGTGCATATTTTACATCACACAGCTTTGTTAAATAGTATGTTGGTGCAATCTTTAGGGCCTTTTAAATATATGGTCATATCATCTATAAACAAGGCTACTTTGACTTCTTCCTTTCTCATTTGTAGTCCTTTCATTGCTTTCTTTTGCCTAACTGTGCTAGCTAAAAATTTCAAGAACTATATGAATTACAGAGGTAGAGTAGACATCCTAGCCTTAAACCTGATTTTAAAGGAAATGGTATCAGTTTTTCCCCATTCAGAATAATATTGGCTGTATATTTAATCATACATGCTTTTATTTTATTAAGGAAAGATCCTAGTACCTCATTTCTTCAGCACTTTTATCATGAAAGGATGCCAAATTTTGTCTAAGGCTTTTTCACTTAAGATGTTCATGTGAATTTTCATCCTTGATTCTGTTTATGTGTTGTTACATTAATTGATTTGCATAAGGAAGATCACTTTTGCTATTGACCAAAATTTCAGTTAGAACTGACAAGATCCAATATAAGGAAACCAAGGGAAAGGCCATGCCGGACTTCAAACAAGAAGTGATAACAGCCTGGATAGAGCAGCAGCCATGGGAAATGAGAAAAGTGGATGAACCAGGATGGATGGAGGAGGCAAAATGAACAGGTCTCAGTTGGATGAGCGGAGTAAGAAGTGCAGAAGTGCGTCAGTCTCAGGGGCTCATGGGTCAGTGGGTCTGCTGGGCTCCACCTAGCTCAGCTGGACTTGGTGCCAGACTATAGATAAAGCTCAGGCCTGCCCTGTCTCCTACTCAGGGACTCAGCATGGAGGCATAACAGTCACCTTTGCCATTTGCAGCCTGCTCATCTCACCGTGGACGGCAGGAACATGACGAGAGTCAAAAATGCAGATTGGCACCCCCAGCACAATGCCACCAGATGCTCTATGAGGAACTACCACACAGTCATTCTCTTGCTCAAACCAAGAGCTGTGAACACACTTACCGCCTCCAAGACAGAATGGGAAAGGAGAGTATTCATTAAACAATATTACAGGCAGGAACATGGAAATAAGCCCAGCTCCTGGGGGAGGAGACCTCACTGAAATAAGAACACGGGACTGAAACACAATCCATCCTGGAATGTGCTGAGTGATATTGTCACCAAAATATCACAGTAGAGGTGTCAAAGAAGTAGCTGGTCAGATGCGCAGAAAGATACAGACTCCAGTTAGTTACTGGTGAGTCGTCAGTGGGAGGCCGGCCAGGAGAGGAAATGAAGTCATCCACGGAGAATTCACAGAGTGAGACATGGGGCAGGCCTCGTACAAAGCACTTGAAACTTCAAGGAAAACTTCTTGGAAGAGATATCTGTAAAGGGGACTGCAGAAATACATTGTTCCCAGAAGCCTGGGGAAAGGAATATTTCAAGAAAGAGAGAGTGGTCAAGAATTTCAAACACTGAAACAAAGTCTAGTAGGCCTGATCACAGGAAATCAATTTCAGCAGCACTGGCTAATCAGAAGCTAGACTCTAAGACTGCAAATGGTGAAAACTCTTTCAGAGAAATCTATAATCTCCCCTCACCCCTGGAGCAGACCAAAGGGTCCAGACTCCTTTCAATTTCAGCAAACTTTTATTAAAGTGTAGTATGCACACAGGCAAGCTGTGTGACATACGTGGACCTATCAGTGCATTCAACAAGTGAGTATATCTGTGTAACCAGCACCCTGAGCACCTCAAAATCCTCCTTTTGCCCTCTTCTAGTTGCTGACAGCCTGCTGTGCCCCAGTTTTGAAAAGATACCAGAGCACTGTAAGATCAGCTGAGAATCTTGCTGAATGTAACGTTCCCCGATTCCAGACCCAAATCCGCCCCCACTCACTATTCCTCTTCTCCCTCACTCTCATCCAGCCTGCTGACTTTTCATCGATTCATTCATTCATTTGTTCATTCATCCTTCCCTCTATGCATTGTCTATTCAGTAAACTTGAGGGCCCCTCACACTCCGTCCTGAGGCAGAGAGGGACTATAGAGATAAGTAACACCAGATGGCACGCTCATGAAGACAGACCTGTCAACAGGCAGTTAGCACCCAGTGTGATAACCACCATCACTGAGGTGTTGCTAGTGTGGGGGCAGAGGGTGTGGGGTACATGTGTGCTCAGGCACAAGCGCCTAAGGAAATAATTGAAATCATGTGGACAGGGCCAACAAGACGTGTAAGCCTCTGAAGGAATGGAACGGAGATGGCTTTTTCTTTGTGGCCATGCAGTCTTCTGTGAATGTATTCAGTGGCTCACGGCTTATTTCTGCCTTTCCTTACCTTTCTGCTCAACCAGATAAACCAGACAATGGGCGCTGCTGACATTGGACAGTAGAGGGCGCCAGAAGATCCACGCTTGCTGCGAACTGTCTGAGAGGAAACATTTCGAGGTTTTGTGGAAGTCAAGGAAACAGATGTGGACAAGATCACACAGGTCCTCCGTAGTAAAAACGCTAGACCTTGCAATTTACTCTGCAATGCCTTCAATTATCCCAAACTCAATTCGTGTAACTTAGGACACCTTAGAAGCTTTCTTTTAAAAATGTTTTCAGAGATTGAACCCAGGACCTTTTACATGATAAATAGGCAAGCATTCTACCACTGAGCCTCATGTCTGACCCTTTTTACTTGGAGACAAGATCTTGCTAAATTGCCCAAGTTGGCCCTAAATTTGAGATCCTCCTGCCTCAGCCTCCTGAACAGCTGGGATTATAGTTGTGCACCATATCTAGCTGCTTTTTCTTTTAATTAGAGGGTAGTGTAGTGAATTGGTAACTGGTCAACTTAAACACCAGCTGAACTGAATCAGCATGGTGCTTGAGTGTAGATGGCCCACCTGAGGAAAGCTGCCCCATAAAAAGAGGAACTGGAGAAGAAGAGTAGCATTGTGGGTTCTCTTAAGTGTGGTTTTATTGTTTGGAGCCATTGGTTCTCCTGGAGGAGCCTGTCACACTGGCTTCCTATATGAACTCAGCTGTTCTGATCATCGAAGGAGCTCGTTGTTACTGAGGATGGCTGTGGTACTTTTCTGGGGAGTCCTGGTTCTTATTTTGAGTGTCGCTTCTTGGTTCCACTGTGAAACCCTGAACCTACTGACACAAATGCTTTACTCTGCTGGAATAGACTTTCTAGCTTCCACTGTTGACCTTTGGCCCTTCCCAGCACAAATCCCTGGGATAGACTTACATGGATCATTGTCATGGACTCTAGGATTTCAGCTAAACTCACGCAGGTTATTGCTGTGGGATCCAGGCCTCAGCTGGATTTTCTGGGTCTTTAGTGTGTGGGCAGATTTCCTGCACTTTGTATTTGACTCCTTGGGTGACCATTATCAGTAATACTAACAATGATGTGTCCTATATGTACTTGTTTCCCTTGAAACTCCTGACTACAACTGGTGGGGAGGTTTCAGTGTGCATTTTACAAATTCAATATAACACTGGTTGTGTATCCTAACTCTGAAGCTGGTGTGAAATTCCTCGGCTCAAAGCTTGGGCTCTGGCATACATGCACATGTAAGTTCAGCCTCTTGGCGTGGTAACAGTCGCATTTCATCCAGCCCCTGGATCCTATTCCTTGAAGTCAGGGGACGTTCACACAAATACCTTACAAGACTGTCAGCAGTCATAAGTGAGTTGATGCAATGCACCCAGGACAGTTCCTGGCAAGGACCAATTGCTCCACCGAGGAGAGTTCATATTCAAAACCTCCTGCTTCATCAGTCGCCCTGCACTGTGCCAGGGAAAATCAGAAGCCTCCCTGTGCATTCTCCAGCCCTCATGACCAGTAGATGTGGCTCAATTCCCGGTTTGACCTTGTCATTGTGAGTGTGTGGGAGTGTTGGTGGGAGCCTTCACACTGTGCCACATGCCCCCACAAGCCTTTTTTTTTAAATTTTAAGACTATCTCCCCAAATCCCTAAAAGTTGCCCAGGTTGCCCTTGAACATGTAATCCTCCTACTCAGCCTCCCAAAGTGCTGAGATTATAGGTGTGTCCATCATGCCCAGCTCTGGTTGGTCATTTATAGGCTGTACAATAAATGCCACATGTTCCTTCTCTGCCTTTGGCCAGTTTCCTCATTCCTCATACAGGGGTGACACCCTGAGGTGGTAGGTTTAAGTGAAATAAATCAGATGCATATGCTTAACTCTTGCATGGTTTTTCTTATATGAAAAACCCAAAGTATAAAGAGAAAAGTAAAAGGTAATAGAAACAGAGATAGATCTTTTACAAATGGAGAGGGGACCAGCAGGTAGGGGAAAAGGAGCTGTAAGGTGTGCTGTACACATGTACCAACTCCATACAAGAAATATAAACACACAGATGGCAAACATGTTTTAATAAAAATCTTTTTAAAGAAAATTTTAAAACAGGAATGATAATACCACCATTATTCCTATTCCTCCTACGGCAGCAAGAATTCCCCCTAATTCAGTTCAACAAATGTTTTGAGCTGCCTTACTATGCCTTAGGCCCAGAGTCTGGTTCTGGAAAAAACCAGACCAGTGAGTCAGGACTCCATGCTTGAGGATCTAGTAGATGAGCAGGCTCCATAGGCTGTGGCCACAAGTGACCAGAAACTGAAAATACAAGCAAAAGAATGCCACTTAGGCGCCTTCCTGGAAGTTTACTGGAGGATGTAAAACCTCATTGGCTTTTGGAGGATGAATAGAATTTTGCCAAGTTTATCCTCCCGTAAAGTCAGTGGAGAGAAACTGCTGAGCCTAGAATCCCACGTAAGATGTCTCTGGCACATACCAGTCAGGGCTTCTCCTTCTTCTTCATGCTGTGGCCCCGGGGGCCTGTGACTCCGAGTCCCCCTCATTTCTCCCAGACATCGCAGAAGGCAGAGGAGCCTTGCTAGGCTGGTCATGTTAGCACCACTTCAGAAGGAAAGAAATCCAGATTATGGCAATTGGGAAAGAGGAGTCACCGAGCCCATGCAGGTCCCCTGGAAGTGGGAGCGCCCTGCCCAGTGCTTGTCCCAGGGAAGAAGCTGCAGACTCAAGATTTGGCAGCAGCCTGTGCCTCCAACCAGGGCAGCTTGAGGGCCTCTGCCTCTGTGCCCCTCTAGGGCAGCACCTTGCTGCCATTCTCGTCTTCACAAAGCTGTCTCTGCCTGGCCTGTTCTCACTCCTCTCTCTGCCCATGCAAACGCTGTCACCTTCTCTAGGAAGCCTCTGCTGTCTGCCAGCCCTGGCAGAGTCAGTGGTACCTCAGCACCCCCAATAGCGGCCCAAGTGCACCCCGCCTTCTCTCTGTGCTCTGGACACGCACTCTCCCATGAAGCCATGCACTCCTAGAGGTGGGTTTCGTGTCTGTGTTTTTTCTGTGCCTAGTTCCTGGCACAGAGGACCTCGCCCAGTGAATGTTTGCTGAATCACATTGAGCTGCACTGCACTGAGCTCTTTTCAGTCAAAGTCTTTGTTTCTCTGCCCTTGGCAGGAAGCAGGGTCCATGCTTGGAAAAAGCCTTTGGGGAGAGTGTAATGTTCCCTAGAGAGGTCTGAACAGGTTAAAGGAAATAAAGATAGGGAAGGCCTAGCGCCCAGCAGCCATAGAAAGCTGTTAGCTCTCCTAGGCCCACAGGGCAAAAAAGAGAACTGGGAAAGAACCTGAACTTGGACCAAATTGTGGCCATGAGATAGAGGCCTTTGCTAGGAATCATGGATGCAGTCCTAGCAAACTACAGCCTGATGGGGAGCGAAGGGCCTGGATACTACAATCCCCTGGCTTCCCACCTCCTCCTGTTGTGCCTCTCAGTAGCTGAAACTGGTTGAAGCTGGAGAGGCCAAAGAAGCCAAGGGAATACAGGTCATGAAGGCAGCTTCCCTAGGCACAGAGTGGGGTGAATAGAAGTGAGTAGTGAACACTCCTGGACGGCTGTACAAGGGGTATCCTGCACAAGTAAGTTTTTCCCAAAATACGGTCTACATTGCCTTGACAGAATCACTTCAGGCACTAGTTTCAGAATCAGAGTTCTAGGCTCTGACCCAGACTTGCTAAATCAAAATGGCTACCTACGGAATCTGTATTTCCAGGAACTTCCCTCAGATGCTGCTAACTCACATGATTTGTTAAGATCCATTTTGAAGAGGCTTTTTGAATGGTGCAGGAGAGAGGGCTGACCAAGGATCTCTGGGAAGTACAGAATTATGGGAATTCTGAGCTTGGTTATTTCATAACGCAGACCTAGAGAATCACTGCCAAGTAATGGAGCCTGATCATGTTGGTTCCCCACCTAGAATCTCCAAACAAAGATCCTCACTCCTGATTCTGCCATCATCACTGGTCTGATTTGTCAAGTGGTCTTCATTGTCCCCCTTGATCCCTACAGCCCCCAACCTTCTTTGTCTTTCCCCATGTCATTGTTACCAAACAGTCCTCTAAATATGCAAAATCAAACAGGGTCTTCCTCTGCCGGAAATCCTCACCACTCCCCTGGAGGCCAACAGACTCCTGGAGCCAACACAATGCTCCTCACATCTGAGCTTCCCCTCCCTCCCCAACATCCTGGCAGTCTCATTCTGCATCTGAAGTTCAGGCACTGGCTCACTTTCTTTTCAGAAGGATCTGGTATCTCCTCCTTGCCGAGCACAAGTGTCATTGATCCTTAAAGTCTCTCACACTCCAGACAGAATGGATCTGAGCTCCCTCAGTGTCTTGCAAACTCTTCTCTGATAGATTGGGGGGGGTGGGGTCAGCATTTTTCCCCTTCCCCATACTTCTCATTAGTGCATATTAGTTACACAGATTATGGGTTTCATTATGACAGATTTGCACATGCCCATAACACACTGTAATCATCCTCCTATCACCTCGTGCACTATCTTAGGGATTCAGTGTATATGGGGTACTGCAATCATCTGCATCCTCCCATTATCCAACTAACACCACTATTCAGTCCCCTTTATTCCCTGCTTCTTGTCTAACAAGTCTCTTCTGTCTTTTTTTGATATTCTGCATATTAGAGAGAATATGTGATATTTGCCTTTCTGAATCCAGCTTATTTCACTCAACATCATGATCTCGAGATTTTTACCTTAACACCTTGTGATAGTGTATTTGGCCCTTCTATTTTTCTGTGATTCCTGTGAGAACAGATTAGACATGTCTGATTTTATGTCCCAATGCCTTCCAGTCACCAGGAGTGAGAACAGATCAGTCAAATTAATAAAATGTTTTGTAAAGAAACAAATCTTCCAGGAGAGGATGTAGGGCAGATGGCTTCATTAAACTTGCTAATTTTGATGCTTTCCCATCTGGTTTCACAATGGGTAGGGCACACCCATCACCCCACCAGGTTCTGTGCCTGTGTAACAAGAACAAACTCACCCCTCCGGGACCAGGTAGGGAGACATTGTTCCCGTTAAGCCCTTTTATGCTACAGGGACAAAGCACCTTCATATTTAGGTGCTGATGTAAGTGGCTATATTAAGGTATCTCTTCTATGGAAGAAAGGCTTTCTATTTCTTCTATACCTTTAAAGTGAGACATTATGAGAATCCCTCCTGGCAGTAGCCCAGTCCTTCTGAACTAGCACCTCTAATGCAGAGATGTCACATCAATCTCACAAAGATAAAATTAATCCCCTCATATCTGCTACCTTCACCCCAACAATGCTGCATAAGGAACAACCCCTGAAAGCTCAGTGTTGTAAAGCATCCATTTGTTCACAGTTTAGTTCTCCTTCAAATCTTTTCCCTCGTGAGACCTGCAGTCTACTAGGGGCAGTCTTTGGTAGCAGAAGTGCACATTTCAACACCCTAATTGCATTGCAACTGCTAACATCCTGAAGTAAGTCAGAGCCATGCCCAAAGCCAAGAAGGTGGAAATCCCATCTCCTTCTCATAGAAGATACCGCAAAGTCACACCACAAAGAGCACAGATATACAGACATCACACTCCTCATTTCTCAAGACAGAGCTCCAGTTACCTGGTCATCTAAGAAGCAGGTATCAATGACTTTCCTCTTTTCATATATAAGCTCCATGATATGATGATCTTGATTGTACCCCCAGGAACCTAAAACAGTACATGGCATACAGTCAGTGCTAATGAATATTTGTTGAACAAATGAGTTCCTCTTTCTGCCCTATTATGGCTTAGATCAAGAATGTGCCCCCACAAGCCTCATGTGCTCATACTAGGGCTTTTAGAAGGTGATTGAATCATGGGGGCCATATAAACTGGGTTCTGGCTGGAAGAGGTGAGTCACTGGGGGAGTGACCCAGAAGGCTGTATCATATATCTCCTTTCTTTGCGCCTCTGTCTCTTGTTCCTGGCCCCCATGAAGTGAGCACCTTTCCTCTGCTGTGTCCCTCTGGGTGCTGGCTGACAATAGGCTGTATTTCTGAGCTGAAATAAACCTCTCCTCCTTTAAGTTTCATGTCATGTATTTTGTCCTAGTGATAACACAGTGACTCAGACAAGCCTCTTCCTCACATTCTCACTTTCCGAAGAGGGCACCCTATTTGTCTAAGTTACAACATTATTCTGACCATTATGATGGTGATTGCATTTTATGGGACGATTGTGAGTTCCAGGACTCTCTCCTTGCAATGTCTCAGGATGTTGATAGAGTCAGAGGCTGGACAGCTGCCTGGGACACCCTGGCCAGAGCCAAGCCATTCCTCTGAGCAGGGAGGTGAGCTGCAGGAGCAGTGGGAGTGAAGAACTGGGGTTTTGCCACCAAGAATAATGCAGACTTAGGAGGCCATGAGAAGCCATTGTATGTTGTCAAGCAGAGGCATAATTTGGTCAAACTTGTGCTTCGGAACATGGATATGTTCCTAATATTTGGAAGAGGAGTGAGGAACTAGAAGAATTAGGAGACTATTTTCAAAAAGCCTAATGAAAAATAAGAAAGTCCAGAAGCAAAAGGTAGTGCTCAAGAACATGTGAGAAATATTGTATGAGTTTCATGGAGAAAACATGTCTTTTTCTTAGATGGCAAAAGAGAAGTCTCTGGGCATGGGGCTTGGAGTCCAGGCAGCTGGGTGGACAGTCAATGAGTCAGGTAGACTTGTGGGATGGAGTCAGTATGCTAGTGTGGGGTGTTTGTGGTGCATCAGTTGGAAGGTGCTAGTGGGCACCAAAAATTCAGAACTGGCCTTTGGAAGAGTTTTCTCTTTGATGTCTTAATCTAGTCACCACATAAAATGTTACATTTACATATAATGCCCATTTAGGCAAACTCGGCTAGATCTTCAGCATGTCCCACCAGCTAAAGATCAAACAGGCAATTTGTGAGTTGTTTGGTGTTCAAGAGTCTCTGCAAGGAGGAGACGAAAGTTTTCAAAATCTCAGCAAAGACCAACAGTAGGAAATCAGAATCAGAGAGAAATACATGACCATGTCCAAGAGTGAGCTCCTTTATGTCCAAAAGTCTAAACCTCCAGAAACAGCCCTGACTTCCATACATCAGTCCACAATATGGGATTCCCTCCTCCGAGTCTGGCATCATGCTCAGGGTGGAGACAGGGAGATGAGCAAAGAACAGCCCTTACCCTCAAGGAGCTTGTGCTCAGGTAAGGAAAGAGGTGTAGAGGTTGAAAACCTTAGGTAAGAGTAACCAAGTCTTGCTGAAGCCTGGGAAAAATATTCCTTGGGGGTTCAAAACAGGATCTAATCCATCCCATTTGACAAGATGGGAGATAGCAATACACATCAAAATTTCAGAATAGGTTCACATGGTTGGGGATGGATAAAATTAAAGAAATCCCAGACAGAGCCTGGATTGAGCCAGAACTAATGAAGAAGTAAAACAGTACATTGCACTGGTGTTTTGGAAGGGCTGACCCAAGCAGATCATGTGGATCAGGAGCTATGTCCAGGGTATCCCTTCCCTGCAAAATTCTGTCCAGAGATTTCAGAGGCCTGGATATCCTTAAGAGGAACAAAAGATCTCATGGTAAATCCTAATTGATTTCCTAAACACAGACAAAGTATTTTAGTTCCCTGCCTGACACACTTATGATTAAAGGTTTCAAAATCTTGTGCTTGTGATGTTTCCAGTTTCAATTGTAGTCACACACCTTATTTCATTCAGTCCTCATGGCATTCAAGAGACAGCTGTTACCACATCTGTGTGACCAATGAGACACTTCAAGGAATCATTAACAAATTCTGCTATAAAAGCCCTTCTTCAAAAAGCCTGAAAGCTTAGTGAACAATGCTTAAGTATTCTTAGTGCATTCTCTGTTCTTAGGCATCATGAAAAAACTGTATTTGCAGCCACGTAAGTCTCAGACTTCTGCTGTTTGGTCTAATGACTTCCAAAAACCCCATCTGTGGACCAGTGGTCCAGGTTCACCGAGGGCCTTCTTAACAATACAGACTGTGAGCCTCACCTGTAGGGAGTTTCAGATTCAGTAGGGCAGAGGTGAAGATCAGGAAATAACATTGTTAATAGACTTTCCAGGTAATTCTGATGCACAGTCAGCTGGAAAATTGGTTAAATCTGGTCTGCAGGTCACCTGCCTCTGCAACACTCAGAAGGTTTAATAACAATATGATTGCCTGAGTCAGAATCTAGAAATAAACCCTGGAATCTGTATTTTAAACAGACTCTCAGATATGCTTGTTCATTTATTTTAAAATACTGTTAAATTTCTAGCTATGTGACAGTCACCATTCTAGGCACGGGGAGGTTCCAGTGAACAAGATCAATTATGTCCCTCCCCAAAGACACTTTGCACTTTGGCTCAGCTCTTTGAATGCTGGGCTATTGCGGGAAGTGGTATGAAAGGCAAGAACCTCAAAAGATCCCAAAACAGCTTATGAGTACCTTAATTATTTTTTGCATGTAACAAACCACTTCTAAAAGGATGATTTTTTTTTCTTCATGATTCAGCATGATGGCTGGATAGTTCTATAATCTCTGCTGGATTCAGATGAGACAAACCTCGCATGGTTGGGTCTCTTTGCATGTAGTTGTTAAGCCTAGGCCATTTTGGGGGAGAAAGGGGTTAAGCCAAGGCCTCAAGATGTAAAACAGGCACTCTACTCATTAGCTGTACCCAGTACCTCAATCCCAAGTTTCTTAACATCTCAGGGTTCCCCAAAGGCCAACCCCAATGTGCAGACGCCTGTCATGTATCAGTAGCACATTCTGCACGTTGACAAAATCAAGTCATGTAGACTGGCTCAAGCTCAGTGTGGCGGGGAATCCACAGGAGTGTGGCCACCAGATCAACCACTTCTTGGGAGGTCCTGCATTCTGTCACATCACTCTAGCTGTCTCTTGAATTTGGGGCTTTCTATGTATCTTCTTTCTTCTTTTCCTTTGTAATCCAACCTAAATTCCTGCATGAAACAAATCCACCTGATCTTGCTTGGTGCTTGGGCATCCTGTGCTGATGCCCACACCTGTGTTGTGGGCAATCCTACTTACTCATGGGGATTATGAGACTCCATGTGGCAAGTGAAGCTGGTGTGAGGAAGGAAAAGGACACCATGTGCATCTGAGGCATCATGGTAGAACCTCCCACAGGACAGTCATGAAATTTTAATGGCCAGGTCACTGTCACCCTGATATGAGGGTATACTCTTATGTTTTTATATGTTTGCTTCTGGGGGCATAAGGTTTTGTGTTTGCTATTGCTTACATAAATTTTTCCAAACTGCTTCTGATTTCTCAAGCGCAACCATGTATGTGGTAGTTTGTGGTAGTTTATGTATGTGAAAAATACAAAGAAAGACATAATCATTGGTCATATCATTATTTAGAAATAATTGCTCTCAACCTGTTAACATGTTTTCTTTTACATTTGTGGGTACATAAGTGTGCTTTTCTTTACAAAGTTATGCTGGGAAGACAGATTTATGTTTTACAGTCTTCACCTAAATCTTATTACTAGCATTTTCCCATGTCATGATGGCCTATTTGTAAAAAATGAGTTACATAGCAGTGAGAGGGCTGGAGTGTAGCTCAGTGGTATAGTGCTTGCCTAGCATGTATGAGGACCTGGGTTTGACTTCCAGTGTAGCAATAAAAAGTCAGTGAAAAGTACTATTTTATGTCCATTCAGCCACTTGTTTCAGACTCTTTGGGAATGATAGCCAATGCTCTAATTTCTGTTCATAAGACTTGATGTGCATTTGTTTCTGTTCATAAGACTTGATGTGCATTAGAGCCAATGCTCTAATTTCTGTTCATAAGACTTGATGTGCATTTGTTTCTCTTTGAATAGATTAAGTCCATTCTTTTTTTCTTATAAACTGAAGTTTTCAAGAATGTTTCAGTATTTCCTAATAAATAGCTAAAGAGCGCTTCTCCCTCCTGAGGGGCCCAGTATTTTCCCCTGCTCTAGGTGCCACGGCCGGCCTTATTGAACACACACGTGCAGAATGGGCCTATTTCCTCTTGCTCCGCTTCCTCCTGTTTGATAGTCCTCAGCTGCCCCCATTTCCGGGCTGCTATGTGAACTAGCTTTTCATTGACTTTACCAGAACTGAAGAAAGAACTGTACATGTTCCCACGGTCATGTCTTCATCCAAACCATGAAAAACTGGCTGTTTCTTTTTTCATAACTGGCACAAGCTGTGTTTGGTCAGGAACCCAACACTAACTACAAAACTGACCTCAATCCAGGGAACTTGAGAAAAATCTAGATAACGCTGTTGAGAAACTGTCCCTCATGTGAATTGGCATTTGAAATATGTACTAAAAAAAAAAAAGAAATATGCACTGGTACAATGTACATTTTTTTCATATCACTGAATCAAATATAATGGAGCCCTGGCAAATAAAGGGACTTAGCTTGACTTGAGCGTCTCCACAAGTCAATCGAGAGACAGAGGGTACAGCTCAGTAATAGAGTCCAGGCTTAGCATGTGCAAGGCCTTGGGTTTGATCCTCAGCAGCCAAAAATAAATAAAAACAAGATAATCCTATCTCAACCAATTCATTCATTCATCCCACTCTGAGCAAGTAACAGATTCTATCTCAGCTCTCAGGATAAGAAGGAAGGATGTGAGAGCTCACAGTTGGGGTGTCAGGCTTGTTCAATTGTATGTAAGGT